ACATGAGAACGTGATGGGACAGTTGAAGTCGTAAGTGGTAACTGGACCAACTGGACATGATCGATTCGACAATTATTGGTACAAAATCATACAAAATCTATTGTTGGGTCCCTGACAATCCTGAAGCGGTCCTTGGAGCTAAAGATTTTGCCCATCACTCACATTGAGATGTGATTGATTTTATTTCGGCAAGGTTCGGTGAAGCCTTTGTTGGCTCTATTTAGACGTTAACTTTACCATACTTATTGATTGGGTTGCAGCAATTGAGGTGCTCCTGTGGCAATCTTGTCATTCTACCGCTCCATTCCTTTTGACTCTTGGAACGTAGAATGCCTATGGAATCTCGCAATGCCGATATTGGCCTTTGCCTTCGCAGGGCCTTGTCAAGAATCTGAAGCCAGAGAAGGGAGCGCCTGCGATACCAAGCTTCCTGCAACATGGCAACAATTTCAAGTATCACCACCAGTGCCTCTTCCTGGAAACCATGTGTTTTGTGAGCCTTCCAGGAAGGTGAAATCAACAAAGGTTGCTGCCTCGCCAGAAGGACTCAAGTCGACAAACTTCCGGCACCAGTGAAGATGCGAAACAATATGATTTAGTGAGACCAAACGGCGGATGTATGACATTCGGCTCAGCTGTCAACTTTAGTGTTTCAGGTTGTACCGGTCCCATGCCAAGCAACGCAGGAGAGCAAGAGACCCAACCTGAAGCAAAGAGACCCAGGATAGAGGCGAAAGTGTGTGCAACACGACATTTGTTCAGTCAGGGTTGCATGTCAAGCAACGAAGGACACGTATTGAGGCCAACTTGACACAGAGTGGAGAAAGGAAAACGGGAAAGCGAGCTGTTTCATGTTGCTATCAGCTTCTTTTAGCATGTGGCAGATACTACAGGCAGAGGCGCCTGCAGAAGCGCCCTCCTCTGGGCTGGGGCTTGGAGGATATGCGTCATGGCCCTGTTTCGCGGTACCATTTGCGGCTTTGGCAGTCGAGTGATTGAAGTGCTACAAGTTCTCCTAGTGCCATTGGCTCCATGATTTTATCAACTCACGAACGCAACCATGTTGGCTATTCAATGGTCGGACAGCCTAGGTCGGACAGTGACGACGACGAGGCTGAATCAGGCAATGACGCAGCATAAGTCCTGCAATGAAGCAGCTAGTTAGACAAAGGGAAGCAAGTAAACTAAGTAAGCACGACAGCTTGCAATTTTGCACACCTGGCACAGCTCTTGTTGTCACGATACCCTTTGTATCCCTTTGTATTACATTAAGTTAATCCATGACGGAGAAGGCTACGGTTTCACCCGTCTCACAATGCACAAAGATGCGTAAGGTCAAGGACAACTACTGACCAAATCTTAAAACCAGGATGGCGTGCGGGATGATTGGGAGGAGATTTAAGGTGCAAATGCAGACCCAGTTAGCCACCCCACGGATGCGGCAATCAGTCTAGTCTAATCAGTCTTACACAGGGTCTGTCCAAAACCGTTGTGGTTCTTCGTTTTTTGTGATCTACTGTAAAACGTTTGGAAGTTCTGAGCCATCTCTTTTTCAAGTCAGCTCAAGTCAGCTGCCACCAGTTGAGTTTGCCCCAGAAATTCAGCGCCTCTGGCTTGAAGATGGGCGGTGGACCGAGCCAAACAAACCCCTGGGGCCCTCAGGGCTGAACACCCGAGAGGCTGGAAGCTCTCCAAAAAGAAAGGAAGAATAAGGAAGAAAGGAACCTTAAACCGGAATTTACAAGGAAGACAGAAGCAATCATGAAACAGGAAAGGATACGAAAGGTCTAAAGGTCCAAGATCTAAAGAAGCAAGCAAAAGAAAAGGAAAGGGAAGAAGACTGAAAAGAAGAGACAGCGGCTGAAGGCTGGGATCTCTCCAAAACAAGACCTATGTCATCACTGGGACTACCACAGGCTGTGGCTATGAAGCCACACGACTGCTCCTCTCCAAGGGTGCTCAGGCCCTCACACATCTTCCAAATGGGGACACCAACGGGTAAGACAAACCCAGTGGAACATGCTTTGGCTCACCTTGTCACAGGTGCTCATGCTCAATCGCAATGCTGAGCGAAGTGCCAAAATCATGGAGAAGTTTAAGGAGGAATTTGGTGCTGATGCAAAGGTGTCCTTGGTGACGATGGACCTTGCAGTGTTGGCTTCGGTACGGGAGGCCCGTATCATGAGAACGTTTGTTAGTTGGTGGTTGTTCTTTTGTTGTTGCTCATGAGCAATGTCACCGTCTTTCAGCGTTGTGCCAGGCTGCCAAAGCTGTGCTGGCACAAGCGCCCCAAATCCATGCCCTCATTTGCAATGCTGCCATTGCCCAGGTCTCCACGCAAAAGCTCACTGAGGACGGCTTTGAAAGCCAATTGGGTGTGAACCACTTTGCTCACTTTTTGCTCTGTGGGCTACTCTACGACCGGGTGGAGAAGTCCAAAGGCCGGATCGTGGTGGTGGGAAGCAACGGTTACAACATGGGGTTGAAAAGAATGAACTTCGACGACTTGAACTTTGATCAGAACTACCATGACTTCACGGTGTACTGCCAGAGCAAGCTGGCTCAGATGATCTTCGGCTATGAGCTGCAGAGGCGTGCAGCAGGTAAGATCCAGGTGCATGTGTGTCATCCTGGTGCCTCCAGGACTGAATTGGCACAGGATGATGATGTGAGCTCCTGGGCGGTTGTTCAGTCAGTTTTTCTTCCACTTGCAACAGGAGTCTTCCGAAACCAGCAACAGATTCGATCTAATCTATATAATCATGATTAAACACAGTGTTTTCCCACCAAAGCTGGCTGAATTAGATGCCGCTACTTTGTATGGGTCAGGAGGGAGGAACGGAAAGACAAACCTGTGCAAAAGTCAACAAACACTAGGCTGCATGATGAAGACGATGCTCACAATGTTTTCGCCCCTTGGCCAGAGTGCAGAGCATGGCTCATGGCCAGAGGTCATGTGTGCCACAGAGGATGGATTGAAGGACTTTGCTTACTATGGCCCTACCGAACGAATGGAAATGGTGGGTGCCATCGGAGAATGCAATTTGGAATCCCATGCGTTGGACAAAGAGGCAGCCACAAAACTCTGGACCATTTCGGAAGAGAAGACGGGCCTAAAATGGTCTCCATAAGATGGGCTACGGGCCTAAAGCTCGCGAGCGCGCCCAACCGGCATCGCCGGTCTGCAAAACTCTACAATAGCTGATAATTGTATGGATCCGACACCACAATCCGTACGAAAATTTGACCACGAAACCATATATAGTTGTGTAGAGCTTGGGCAGGCTTGGGTGCACAAACATCATCATAACTCCCATGTCATGTTTTGGCTCAAGAGCCAAAAGTGGACAGGGGAGTTTCTGTTCCTTGGTTCAAGCTCGGTGTGGGATCACACCAGTTCTCGTGTGAGTGACACACGCGCATCATGTCTTGGCGCCCCGGGATCGATGTTGCCGTTCACACTGAGGCGCAGCTTCTCTCTGCCGCGGCCTTCGCCGAGTTCCGCCAGGCAGTACAGGACCGCTTGGACCGGGGAGACCGTGTTCAAGCGTTCATCCTTTGGCAGAGCGTCGTGGTGTTTGAACATTACCCACCAGCTCCTCGTGTGGTGGGGGGACCACCGGAATTCCCACCACTTCGCCAACAGGCCTGTTCCATTTCGATGTGCCCCCGTTGTATGGGATTTCGAGGGGGGCCTCGTGTTTCATGGATTGGTACCTGGACACGCCGGGGTACGGTGGTGGTTCCGGGCAGCTCTGCGCAAGCTTGGGCGCGGCATGGGACCGTGCCGACGACCTTGGACCTTTTGGAGCTCAATCGCTTGGCACCTTCAGGAGTGGTCGAGGACTTTGTGCCCAATTATTTGTGGGCCTTCAGACTATGATCGGTCGCGCCAATGGTTGGCGTCTCGTGAGGAGATCTTCGCCCACCTGCGTACTTGGGGGCTCATGCACAGGGGCCTGTGGAGGGATCCAGGCTCCATCTCGGCGAGTGACGCCGTGGTGGGAACCTATGAATCATTGGGTGATGGCAGACCTTTCCACCCAATCACATTGCCGCCAGCTTGCTGCCTTTGTGGAGATCCAAGCTGGAGGACGTGGGGATGCGGGGTCGGTTTGTGTTGGGAGTGCTGTCCATGCGTGGAATCCTGTCCTCGCTGCCTCTCGATGGATTCTGACAGCAGTTAGTGCCCTTGCCGCCATGCGTACCGAGAGCAAGTTCAGCACTTGGTGGAAGCGGCTGGGGATGGCCCTTCATCCTCCGCCGGTTTCGCGTTCCCCATGGTGGAGACATTTCCGGAGTGGATCTCCGCACATGACGGGGATTGGGATGGCCCGCTGGGTCCACACCTTGCTGATCCGGCCACTTGGTTGTCCATGAGGAGTGCAGACAGAAAACAAGCGGGAGCCCTGACGCAGCCGTTGCTTTCCTACGGTTTGGATCCTGATCAACATTTCCAGGCAGCATTGGCCAGGGGGCAGTTCCCGTTACCCACAGGGCAGCCTCCGGTCATGGACTTGGACCTACAATTCGCAGCAACCTTGACTGGTGCCCTCCGGGGCAAACTGCGAGACTGGCACACCCATGCGGTTGGTGCGTTGAGAGAGCTCCACCGCAGGTGGGCGTGTGTGGGCCCTCATCTAAAGAAGGCCCAACCCGCATCCTTGCGAGCCACTACACAGCAGAGAGACCTGGGCTTACAGCCTTGTTGTTGATGTTGGTGTCTTGGCCGGACGTGCAATACCCACAAGGCTTGCTGTATGGTCTGCCAGCAGTGGCGACATCTTGGCCCTGCGGAGTCTTTCCACAGCAGGAGGTGGAACCCATCCCATTGGACATGGTATTCACGGGTTGGCAGCGACACAACCCTGCCCTGGTTCGGACTTTGAAGCCGGGTAATGACGATGTCTTTTTGCTGGAACAGTCCTGCAAGGATGCAGACAGAGGGTTCAGTACTCAGCCAATGCGCAAGAGGGACTTGCTGTCAGTCGTGATCCCACGTTTGATCCCACGTTGTGTCATCGCCCAGAGTTCCGGGAAACAGCGAATCATTGATAACGCAGACCAGGGTGGCCAGACTGAGTATTCAGCTGACTTCAATAAGCTGGTCCTTTGTTCTCCGTTGCGACCTGCCCAGCATATCCAGGCTACGATGGCAACCATGACGGCGGCCCAGCAGCAGTTGGCGGCTCAGACTGATGCATGGGAGACAGGAGGCGAGGACTGGCCTGATGCCTACCGCCACTCTCATGCGTGAGAGCGACACCCTGGGCTGTGTGGTCGTGTTTTACCATCATGAACGGCAAGAACCCGCGTACCAAATCTATGCCGGCCTTCCTTTTGGCTTGCCCCTGGCAGTTACTTCGTTCAATCGATACTCACGCCTGGTTGAGGCCCTCGGACGACGGCTTTGTCCATGGCGCCATGGTGAGTCTCTACTTTGATGATGCCTCATTGACTGACTGGCAATCAAGCCGAGGATCGGCGCAATGTGCCTTCGAAGTGCTCAACGAGCTGTTGGGCGCCCCTTTCGCCTGAGACAAGAGGCAACCGATGGCAGCAGCTGGGACGTTCCTGGATTTGACACATGACCTGACCTGACTGACGTCCAGCAGAAGGGCCACGTCTCTTTCTGGGCCAGGGACAAACTGCGTGAGAAGCTTCGACACATGCTAGCTAAGGCCCGGAGTGGCCCGGTTCTCTCCCCCAGCCAAGCAGCTAAGATCTATGGACTCGCCAACTTATTCGAGCAGGGCATGTACGGTCGCATTGGGTGTAGTGGTTTGGGAGCCATAAAGCAAAGGCAGCTGTCCAAAGAGGAAGGCCTCACGCCAGAGTTGGAGCGATGCTTTGCAGTTCTCGATTCTTCTCGATGCTGTTTTTGAGATGCACCCAGCCAGAGAAATTGCCATTGTACCTCGTGCCCATCCTCGGTTCTTGGCCGCTTCAGATGCCGCTTTGGAGGTCCCCCGACAGGGCACTGGAGGCTTCTTGTTGGGTTTCTTCAATGACCACGCCCAGGAACGTTTGGGCTATGTCTCAGAGATACCCGACCTCCTGTACCAGCTTTGGTCGCCGCGCAAAGCAAAGATTGCGCAATTGGAACTTCTTCAAGTACTGATAGCCTTGGTCACGGTTCCTGAGCGGTTCCGTGGGCGTAGAGGAGTTTGGTATATAGACAATACTGCCGCTCTCATGTCCCTAATAAAAGGGAGATCGGCTAGTTATGGTCTTGAAAAGATGAGTAGTTTGATTCACCTGTTACTTGTCTCACTACGTTGTTGGATTTACTGGGAGTGGGCGCCGTCCAAATCCAATTGGGCTGATGCTATCAGCCGTGAAGGATTCATGGATGAATGGCACTGTTAACATTATTTTTCAAGCGCTCTCGCACGCTTCCCGATGGTGTTATGGTTCCTCCCGTTGCGAGCGGTTGTGCGCTTGGGAGAATTCCTGTGAATGCGTTGGGGATTTAAATGCGTTGGGAGTTTTCGGATCTGGTTGCTGTCTCATCCTGGTGTCAAGGGATGGTGCAACCAGAGGGGAAGAAGGTCCTGAGGTTGCAGGACATACCAACGCAATATTCCTAGGGCGGGGTTGTACCAGTGCATGTATGAGAGTGTGGAAGAAAAAAACGAATTCGGAGTAACACGGACTGGGAGATTTATGATATAAATATATAAATTTAATCTTTATATGATTATAAATTATAGATATTTTTGGTGAATAGAATGACGAGGTTATATCGTTTATTAGAAAATATATTTTATTTTTGGGAAATTGATATTATTTTGGAAATATAAATAATTTCTATAATATATATCTAAAATATTAAATTATGATTTAAAAAAATTAATTTAATTATTTTTATGAAAACATATTTTGAATTAAACAACATAAGAATAAAGAAATGGATTATAAAGGTATAATATGAATTTTAGAATAGGTAGAAATATAAAATATTTGATATGTTTTTTAAGGAAATAATAAATTATTAATAATTTGATGATAGAATATATTAAATATGATTAATTTATTATAGGTTAAATATTTATTTTAAATTATTGATAATAATTAAAAATATTTATAATATACAATGAAACATAATTTATAATAGAATAAATTGAAATGGATTTATATTAAAATTTAGACAGGATAGAATAATTTATATTGTATTATTTGTATATTATATTTATATATGATATTTTTAAATATAAAGGCAAGGATTTTTATATTTATATAGAAATTTATTTGAAGGAATATGTTTTATATATATATTTTATATTGATGATTTTTTAATTTTTGACAATTATAGATTTTTAATATATATATATATTTTATAATCGAAGATTTTCTAATTACAATATAGATTCTAATTATAATATATATATATTAATATAGGAATAAAATATATTTATAAATATTTGAATATTTAGATAGAATAAAGGTGTTATATATTAATTATATAATATATCTAGTTTTTTTGATAGACATATTGAATAGTATATAAAAATTCTCTTGATTATGAAATTATTGTATATTTTTAAAGATGTTTTTTTCGAGGATAAACCATATATTATAATTTCCCCATCTGTTAGGAATGCTGTTGAATATAGTGGTTGGTTGCGTGAACAATTCATGTAACACGGCCCTTCGGGACAACAGGCCAATGGATGGCAAAATAGGTTGACCACTGGTTATGAAGACGGTGGCGCATTGATTGAACCGATCTTGCTCCGCTGCCCTGACCAAAAGACGTGTTCATTGCAAAACATGATTCATGCATGGCACCTGCAATCACCATACACTGATGCGTGTTTATCGGAGCACCCCAACATTTGTCTTTAGATTGAGCGCTTCCCCGACTTGCACACCAAGAATCGCAGAATCGCATGAATGTTGATTTTCCCAGGTCCTGTGTCTAGATTCCGATTTTTGCACGAACCTCCGGCCTTGATGTGTACTGGGCTGAGTATCGTATCGTGAGCCTGATCTTGCACTTGGGCGAGGGACCTCATTCAGGACACTATTAGTCCTGCTTGTTGACAAGTGGAAACCTTTGGATGACCGATGATGATCGTTTGCCCTGGCTGAGTTGTTTGCACCCCGCCATGCAGAAAGATTGCTATTTGATTTGGCTTGTGCCTCAGCTGGGGCTTGCGAAGTTTTGGCGCCGACCATTTCCCAAAGTGGCCGTAGAAGAAGATCCATGGACCCAACTTCTCGAAGACACTTTT